CACAGGAACACCTGACTGAACATTTTGGGGTACAAGTTTTTCTTTTCTTTTTATAAATGTATACAGACACACTTAAGTATACACTCAGTATTACACACATATTTATTTTCAAAATGCAATTATTTTATAATGGTAATCTGCCTAGTGTTACACAGAATACATTGAGTCTTCCCATGGCAATAATCTAACATAATTCATTTTAATCTAATTTTCATTTTCAATAATTTTCATGTATATTCACTGAAAAGTCAAAGAGTACTACGAGATTTATATAAACAAAGACAGCAGTAGCAGTGGCGGCAACAGACCTCAGCAGGTCCCCAGTACACTTCTTCCCATCTGGACTCCAGCTCCCTGGACACAGCTGCTTTTGACTAGCTCAGACTGGGTCTTGGTACTCATCACTGTGGTTCTGCTGATGTTTATTTTCCAATCTTGCTATTATTGACTGAGTTTCTACTATGGAAAAAGAGGACTTTGCTCTGTTATACTAGACACCTCACTTCTCAACCACTCACAGAATTCTCCCCATCCTCTACACAGTTACAAATTAATTTTGAGTTAATATATATCCAGCATTTATATTACAAAGATTTTTATTGTTTTCTGCTGGATCCCATTTCCTTTCTTATAACTTGTTTCTATTTTGTGAAAATAACTTTGTTTTATTTTGCCTTGTGTTTGCTTTGTTTCCTCTATGCTTGTCACAAAGCCATCATCAAATTCTCCGACAGGATGATAAAATCCCTTGTTCTGGTCACAGTTGCTAGTAATCGCTCAGTTCCACTTTCCCCTGGATCTACTGCTCCAGTCTAGATGACTCACTGCTCTGCTGTTGCTGTGTCGGGACATCACTTTGCATCTCTCTTGGGTTGGCTCCCCAGTTTTGCTGGGAGACACCCTGCAGTAGTTCTTGTGAAAATTTGTATTGGAGGCAAACTCTCTGAGACCTTGCATGTTTGAAAATACTTTTATGGTGCCATCCTACTTGTTGGATGATTTGTTTGGGTATCAATGCTTTGAAGATTGTCTTTTCCATCAGTGTTCTGATGGCATTGCTCCACTGTCCTCTGGCTTCTGGTGTTGTGATCAAGCATGACATCATTCTGAATCCTGACACCTTGTGTGTGACTTGTTTCTTTTTTCATTTCATATTTCAGGATATTCTCTTCATTTCTGACATGCTGAAATTTTGCAATGATGTGCCTTGGGTAAATAGTGCAGTGTGTACACTGGACCCTTACAGTGAGAAAACACAAATCTTTCACCTCCAGAAACTCTTCTTTAATTTCTTACGTAATTTTTCTCCTTGAGTTTCCCATTCATTCCTTGGAAATTCCTCCTAACTGGAAGGTGATACAATTTGGATATTAAATTTACTATCCCTTCTTTCTAATTTCCATGTTTTTATATTTTTATTACTCTTTTCCTGAGAGTTTCTTTAATATTTCAGCCCTTTTATTGAATTTTTAACTTATGCTTTTATATATTTGATTACATAAAAGTATTTTCTTGCTAAATGCTTATTTTTTAATGTTTTCTATCTCATTTTATGGACATGCTGTCATTCTTATTTCTCTGAGGATCTTAGGCGTTTTCTTCTGTTTTTCCTTCGAGTCACTTTCTTTCTGTTTATTTTGCTTTCTGCTTCCCATTTTAGAAACTTTACTCAAACAGCTTATAATCACTGTTCTCTGCACATATTCAGAAGTAAATTGACCTGGTGACTGGATAGCATTTTTATGCCTTGACTGTCATTTTAACGTGACTCCAAACATAATAGCAATAAAATCTTACATTGCTATGTCTTGACAAACCACATAGACTCTCATTAAACCAGTTCTGGTGTTGGGCATTTCTAGTGTTGTTTTTTCTTCTGTTGGGGTGAATATACTTGTACATAAATGTGTATGTGCATATATATATTACATTCTTGCTTAATTAAGATAAATCCTAAAAAACAGAAACTTGAGAAGTTTGACTTTGGCTATATTTTGCCTAATTGCCATCCATCAGCAATGTTATTTATAATTCCAACCAAAATACTTTGGTCTTATTTTCCACATACACACTTTTACTTTTATAAGATCTATAGTGTCTTTTATAATTTAAGGAAAAAATATTTTGGAAAATATTGAGGATAACGTATCATAATTCCTATCAGCCATTCAATTACCCTCAGAGTAGACAAATACTTATAAAGGAATATGTGGGTGATGTCCACTGAACAAAGCATAATATACATTCTGAGCAGTGTGTTACACTCTTTTAAATAAGCACAAGTAAACATAAGAATTTGAGGAAATATACAACATAGAATTTAAATGTAACATTTAAAAAGTTATAGAAATTCATAGAATAATCCTGAATAATCTGGAAAAATAAATACTTACATCATGCAAGTTATCAAGAAGCTTTGTAAGTTGATAGAAACGCTGTGAGCTAGACACGACTCCTTTTTGCCTCAAACCGATTGCCTTGATGAGCTCTCTAATGTAGCTTGACCTCATCTCTTCAAACTGATTTTGACTCCTTAGTCCTTCCAAGGGAACTGTAAGAAGGTAATTACCAGTGACGGTTATGTTTAAAAAGATGACACTCACATCTGATAATACAAATTTCTGAGCTATATAACCATTTCTTTGATAAAAGCACCTTAACAGGACAGAGATAGAGCTATCAATAGCTCCAACATATTACTTACTTTGATTTCGTTTATGGCTACCTATAATTTGGGTCATTTTCTTTCCTTTCTTGACAAATAACTTGGATGTCTCTGTAAAGTTTTGTCTACACATAATCTCAAGTATTTCTAATTAAGATTATTCCTAGGTAATTTATCCTTTTATTGTAAAATAAACATTGCTTCATTAAATTTTTCTAATGCCTTCCTGCTGATATGGGAGAAAGCCATTAATATTTAAATATTTATTTTATATCCAGCCACTTAATTATATAGGCATACCTTGGAGATATTGTGGGTTTGGCTCTAGACCACCACCATGAAGTGAATATTGCAATAAAGCAAACTCACGTGAACTCGTTTATTTCTGAGTGCATATGAAGGTTATGTTTACAGTATAATAGAGTGTATTAAGCATGCAATAGTATTATGTCTAAAGAAGCAATATACATACCTTAACTTAAAAATAGTTTATTGATTAAACAGTGATGACAATCATCTGAGCCTTCAGTGAGTCATAATCTTTTTGCTGGTGGAAGGTCTTACCTTGATGTTGATGGCTGTTGACTGATCAGAGTGATGGTTGTGCTGAAGATTGGGGTGGCTGTGGCAATTTCTTAAAACATCAATGAAGTTTGCTATATTGAGTCTTTCTTTTATGAAAGAGTTTGTAGAAATAGCATGTGATGCTGTTTGAAAGCATTTTATCCATAGTTTAACTTCTTTCAAAATTGGAGCTAATCTTTCCAAAATCTGCTGCTGCTTTACAATTATGTTAATGGAATAGTCTAAACCCTTTACAGTCATTTCAACAGTGTTCACAGCATCTTCATCAGAAGATTTCATGTCAAGAAACCACTTTCTTTGCTTGTCTATAAAAAGCAACTCCTTATCCCTTCAAGTTTAATCATGAGATTACAGCAATTCAGCTACATCTTCGGGCTCCACTTCTAATTCTAGTTCTCTCTTGCTATTTCCAGCATAACTGCAGTGATTTCCTCCTGAAGTCTTGAGACCCTCCAAGTCATTTGTGAGAGTTGGAAGCAACTTCTCCCAAACTCTTACTCTTGACACCTGACCTCCTCCCATAAATATTCTTAATGAAATCTAGAGTGGTGAATCCTTTCCAGAAGGTTTCAACTTAGTTTGCCCAGATCCATCAAACACTATCTATATACCTTATAAAATTTATTTCTTAAATCATAAGACTTAAAAGTTAAAGATTATTCTTTGATGCACAGGTTATAGATGCATCAAAGGTATGAAGACCACATCAGTTTCCTTGCACATCTCCATAAGAGCTCTTGGGTAGTAATGACTAGGTACATTTTCCGTAAGCAATATATTTTGGAAGGCATCTCTTTTTCCTTTTTTCTGAGCAGTAGGTCTCAACAGCAGTATTAAAGTGTTCAGTAAATCATACTGTAAACAGATGTGCTGGCATCTAGACTTTGATGTTCCATTTATAGAGCACAGGCAGAATAGATTTAGCATAATTCTTAAGGGCCCTAGGATTTCTGGAATAGTCAATGAACATTGGCTTCAACTTAAGTCACCAGCTGCATTAGCACCGAATGGCATTGTCAGCTTGTCCTTTAAAGATTTGAAGCCAGGCACTGAGTTCTCTCCACCTAGATTGGCAGGTTCTTTCTAACAGTGTTTCTTCTACATTAAAAATATGTTGTGTAGTGTAGCTACCTTTATCTATGTTCTTGGCTAGGTCTTCTGGAAAACTTACTGCAGCTTCTAAACGAGCACTTGCTACTTCATCTTGCCCTTTATGTTATGGAAATGGTTTCTTTCCCTGAACCTTGTGAACCCACCTCTGCTAGCTTCAGACTTTTCCTTTGCAGCCTCCTTGGCTCTCTCTGCATTCACAGAATTGAAATGAGTTAAGGCCTCGCTCTGTATTAGGCTTTGGTTTAAGGAAATGTTGTGGTTGGTTGATCTTCTATCCAGACCACTAACACCTTCTCCATATCTGCAAGAAGGCTCTGCTTTCTCACCATTTGTGTGTTCCTGGAGCAGCACTTTTAATTTCCTTCAGGAACTTTTCCTTTGCATTCACAGCTTGGCTAGCGGTTTTGGCTCAAAGGCCAAGCTTGTGGCCTAGGTCTTGGGACACGCCTGCCTCACTAACCCTAATCATTTCTAGCTTTTGATTTATACTGAACAGACATGCAACTCTACTTTTCACTTGCACATAGGGGCCACTCTGGGGCTAACTGACCTAATTTCAATATTGCTGTATTTTAGAAAATAGAGATAAAAAAATAACACTTTGTAAACCCATATTCATCCCCTGAACACCAACCAGACCTTGTCTTCTATTACTCTTAAAAAAATAAAAAATAAAGCCACAGATACAAACTTGCAAAAAACAATAGTTAATTCTTTGGTTTTGAGTTTTTAAGAGCTCAGTCGGATTCTGAATATAAAGGGGACTTTTAATGTTAATTTTAGCAACATGTGATTTTTGCTCAATTGAAGGCTCCTCTATGTACGTCTATAATATAGAGCATACGTATTTCCAGAATCTCTTTTCTCTGGTTACTTCACATAACAGTTATTTCAAACCTTCACAACTTTCTTTATGGTTCAAAGTCAATCCCTACATCTTCATTCTTAACATGAGTATAAAATTATTTTCTTTAATTTTTTTTAGTAAAGCCCTTTACTGAGATTTTTCTGTAATTTAGGAGGGTATGATGCTAAATGTGAGTCCTCATCCTCACATGTATTCCTGGAGATCTGTATTTTTTATGGAAAACGAAAGGATTGACTTTATAACTATCAAATCATCATATTTTCTTTGCAAATTCACTCTAACATTTATTTTTAAAAGATATGTCCTGTTTTAGATTTGAAAATAAATTATATTTCTTCTTGTTCATTATTTGAGTGTTTACATTTAGCTCAATTATTTGTTATTTATTTTGGGATATAATTTTTGTTAAATATTCAAACTGATTTTCTCCAAATATAAAATTATTTTTTTCAATAATGTTTATTTATTGACTTGTGGTGTTTCCACTATAGCATTTAAATTCCAAATATACTTACTGACTTGACTAACATTCCATGTTATTCATTCTTCTCCTATGCTGTATTAATTATTGTTGCTTTCTAATTCCCCACACATTTTTATAATGCTCATTTACTTATCCCTGTAGATTTAAAGATAAATTTTCAATAGCTTTGCCAAATTCACCCTCTTTTCCCAAATCTTATTAGAATTTGGATTAGAATTTGTGGAAGGCCGGATACAGTGGCTCACATCTGTAATCCTAGTATTCTGGGAGTCAGAGATGAGTGGATTGCTTAACCTCAGGAGTTCAAGACCAGTCCTAGCAAGAGTGAGACCTTGTTTCTACTTAAAGAATAGAAAAACTAGCCAGGTGTGGCAGGCACCCATAGTTGCAACTACTTAGGAGGCTGAGGCAAGAAGATTGAGTGGAAGAGTTGGAGGTTGTGGTGAGTTAGGATGCCATGGCACTCTACCCAGGGCAACAAAGTGAGAGTCTATCTCAAAACAAAAGAAAAAAAAATGGCAAGTGGCCAAGAATCTTGCTCCCCATGGTATGTCAGTAAGAAGTCATAGAATTTGGGGCAGCGCCTGTGGCTCGGTGGGTAGGGCACCAGCTCCATATACTGAGGGTGGCAGGTTCAAACCTGGCCCCCGGCCAAACTGCAACAAAAAATAGCCAGATGTTGTGGTGGGTGCCTATAGTCCCAGCTACTCGGGAGGTTGAGGCAAGAGAATTGCCTAAGCCCAGGGGTTGGAGGTTGCTGTGAGCTGTGATGCCACAGCACTCTACAGAGGATAACAAAGTGAAACTCTGTCTCTAAAAAAAAGCAAACAAACAAAAAAAGAAGTCATAGTGCCTCACTTTCTTTCTTTACCACTGCTCTCATGACTGTGGCAGTGTGAGTCAAAATACAGTCTCTATTCTCTTGGGTTTCTGAGTGATAACAATGTATAGAGCCTCCCTGTTGATCTGCACTGGACATATGGGGGTTGTTAGCCCCCAGCATAATGTAGCCCAGTCATAAATACAGAGCTATGTTAAGAATATAGTCTAATTTGGAAGATCTAAGGCTATCTGTGACATAATGACTACAGGATGAATTACCATCAAACAAAGCAGAGTAGAAATTACTGCATTATTAAATTTATTCCAGTTGACTTTCTTGGCCAGTCCCATACCAATACTCTTTGTCTACACTATGCTCTTTCACAAAATCAGACTGTAAATCCTTCTCCAAATAGGGTTTCCCAAGGGTTGGGAATGAGCTATGGCTCCTCAGAGCCTGTATTGGTCCCTGACTTTTGCAAAGATCAATGAAGAAGCCTTCCATTTTAAGAATTTAGTTCTCCTGCCTTTCCTCTTGACGTGCAACCCCCAGCCATTTGAGATTTGTATCACTAAAAAGAAGTTCCTGCAAAGATGCTTCTCAGAAAGATCCTGGGCTCACTGTTGACCCAAGGTCTTAAGTCCCCATGGTTCTCTTGTAAATCACTCTAAGTAAGCATCAGTTTGTACATGTGAGTGCTGAATCTGATTATGCACAAAAAGAGCACAAAAAAGGGCTATTTGCCTGTCCAATTCTGGTGACCAATGCTATGTTTTTATAACAAGTCACCTCCTTTTTCTTCTGGGCATACAGGTAGGGTGCACTTCCCAGCATCTCTTGCAACTAAGGTGGGTCATGGAACATGACTAGACGTGATTCATGGTAGTTTCAAGTCTTGCCCCCAAGCCTTCTCTTACCCAGTGCTCACTTCTAGTCATATCCAGTGGGGACTCTACGGTGTTAGGAAAGGGTGGCACCACTGGATGGAAGGAGCCGAATTTTTCTTGCTAACCTACTGGACTATGTTTGTGGGTGATAAGTATACTGTGACTGCATTAAGCTACTAGTAATCTCTATAGTTATGTGTTAAACAGCCTGTTATGAAATAACAAGAATAGTTCCAAACAAAATTATGAATTTTATATAGAGACTCTCTTTGTGAGGGAAGCACAGTTTGTTTCTGTTTATGCAATGCTAACTGCAGGCTTGGATTGGATCATGATGAGGATACATTCTGAGAAGTGTGTGGTTTTCACCCTTGTGCTAGTTTGCTCCTAGGCTACAACTCTGTGCACATGTTTCTGTACTGAATAGCACAGGCAATTGTAGCACAATGGCAAGTATTTGTGTACCTAAACATATCTAAACATAGTCAAGGTACAGTGAAAATGTAGCATAAAACTTACCATAAATGGAGCTCGCAGGTCTGGCAGTTACTCATACCGTACATTTAGGATACACTATATTTATAAAAATTATTTTTCTTTCTTCAATAATAAATTAACTTTAGCTTACTGTACCTTTTTTATTTTATAGACTCTTTAATTTTTTTTAACTCTTTAATTATTTCGTAATAACAATTAGCTTAAAATGCAAACACATATAGCTGTACAGAAATATTTTCTTTCTTTACATCCTATTCTATAAGACCTTTTTCTATTTTTAATGTTTGTTCTTTCACTTTTTAAACATTTTTTGTTAAAAAGTAAGATGAGGACTCCTTAGTCTAATCCTGCACAGGGCTGGGATCATCTGTATTGCTGTCCTGTTCCCCAGGAAGGTCTTCAGGGGCGGTGACACACACACAGCGACCCTTCTTCTGGATACCTCCTGAAGGACTGGCCTATGGCTGTTTTACAGTCCTTTCTTTTTTTTTTTTTTTAATAAGTTAAAGTAGCACACTCTAAAATAATGATTGAAAAAGTGAATACATAAATCAGTAATGGCTGTTTGTTACCATTATCACGTGTTAAGCTTAGACAACTGTATGTGCTATACTTTGATAGGACTTTTATATGCAGCTCGGTGGGCTTGTTCACACCAGAGTCAACACAAACACAGGAGCAATGCATTGCGTTGTGAAGTCACTAAAGCTATAACGTCACTAGGTGTTAGGAAATTTTCAGCTCCATAAAATCTTATGGGACCACCATGGTAAATACAGCCCATTGTTGACCAAAATATCATTGTGTGGCACATGACTATAGTTTATAATGCTGAATTAGGTGAATACGAAAAAGTCATTTAATCAATAACATATCATATTTTTTTCTTTTTTTCCTTTTTTTTAATTAAATGATAGCTGTATACATCAATGCAAACATGGGGTACAGTGTAGTGTTTTCATATACAATTTAAAATATTTTCATCAAACTGGTTAACATAGACTTTGTGTCATTTATTTATTGTGTTAAAACATTTATACTCTAGTTCTAGAAAAGTTCACTTGTATCCTTGTTAGATAGACCATATTTTTTCAAAATAAAAAAAGAAATTGACCAGGCTGTGTTAGAATGACATAGTATTTAGTAGGTAAAAAAAAAATCAAGTAATTTTATTAATGACTATGGCAACATATTGGGTATTTCTCCTATATAATCTAAGGTCTCTAATGTATATAATTACATAATCATATTATTGTTTGAGACTTTCCTAGTGAATTATGAAACTAAATATCTTGTATGAAGTCACTTGAATCCACTCACTTGTATTAAGAAGCAGCAGGACTTTCATACAGAGGAACTCCTCCTGGCTCACTTGCAGCTTGACGAACTCCTGTGGGATCTGCCACATGGTAAGGCACAACGAATAGAATGATGATTCTTTCATCCGCTGTCTTGGACCACACACAACACACAAAAGAAAGGGCAACAGGAAAGAAAACCGTGGTGTCTCAGCCAGTCTATGTAATTTGTCAGGGGACATGGACTTTGCTGACTACCTTGCGTATCACTGACTCTGACTATCACTTTTAATACATACATTTAATGTTTGGAATTTTTAACATCTTCTAAAAGCTCTTACATCACACTGAATGTTTGAGGTTAAGAAATTTTAAAGTTAGAAAATTATGTTAAATACACATACTAACCTTAATATTATTTCTCACTTTTATTATCACACCTTAAATGCCTAAACCAAGAAAGGAGAGCAGAGTTATCTGAGTAGAAAATGTGGAGATGACGGATGCTCCGAAATGCTTTATTTAGTTATTAATTTTTTTTTGTAAAAACATACACACAAGGGAGAACTGATTCAGTTCATAGAAACTTACTTCTCTGGAAAAATATATGGTGATACAGAAAAGAACAAAAGAGAATGCTGCCATAGCAAGCATTAAATAACTGACACAAAAGCTGAAGGTGTAGGAAATTTATTTAAGGCATTTTCTCAACCATGTGTTGTGTTATAATGTTCATTTTAGCCAAACAAAGCTAATAAGAATAGTGAAACTAGATTCTGACTCAGAAGAGATAAGATTAAGTCTTATATAAAATTCTTCCGAGCCTCAGTTTTCTGAATTGTGAAATGAAAGATGCTGATTCCTTACCTATTTCAAAGGATTGTTGGATAAAACATAATGAAACATGAAAATTATCTGTAAGCTGTAAAGACTTACATGTGTATATGTTATTAGGTTACATTCTTCTAAGTTAGCATTCACCATTAGGACAGTATAAATAATACCATGAAAATATTTTTATTCAGTTGAAGTTTACATGTGGAAAATTAATTGCCACTGCTTAAATATAATAAAGCAAATTGACATTTTCATCTTTCAATTTTTAAAATAAATTATCAGTCTAATATATCTTGTGGGAAGAAAGATATTTTTGCTTTTTGAAGGTAAATCAATACTTTCAAGCAAAAATATTTCTCATTTATTTCATTATAGACAATAGTACCAATGTATGAAATTGAAATCTGATAAATATTTAATTTTAATCTTTCCATATTTGTCTTGATACATTTTTGAAGTTTAAAAAATTATGTTTGTGACAACTACTATATTGAAACAAGAGGCTTCAAATATCAAATTACTGATAAAATAATACAGTTTTATTAATTAAAATTAATTAATAAACATTCATTCATTAATTAAGCTATTTAAATATAATAAAGGAAATTGACATATTTGGTCACAACACGTATTTTTAGGTACTTCTGAGAAGCCATTCGGGAGAATTTTATTATTTAGGATGCTAAGTCTGTGATCATCTATTGAAATGTAAATTTCAAAGTTAACCTACACATACACCTATGATAAAAACAAGAACAGCAAAAGCTACTACTTACTCATTTAGTATTAGATCAGGTGCAAAATACAGCATCTGCCCGCTGGCGTTCTTGTAGGACCTCCACCCCAGCCCGAACACCATCAGGCTCATCCAGGAGTACTGGATGAGAGTTATCTGGTCGTCAATATGTAAGTTTCGGAAACCTGTGAAACAAATTTAAAAGGAAGATGATCACAAAATCGATACTAAAAATATTCAAAGTACATAGAAATTTCAAAATAGATGTGAGTAGGGTGATATGATATTTCTGTTTCTATATATTTTACACTAAAATCAGGAAATATTAATATTACAGTCTAAAAAATGAAAAAAGGGCAGCTACTGTCATTTAAAATGAGCTGCTGTGATTTAGCATTTCTGAGAATGTGCTAATGGAATCCATCGTCCATCACTCTTTTGTGCAACACTCATTTATAAGGAGAACCATTTGTGTGTGAGGCACTGGGTTAGAACGCAGGGGCTCCGAGATGAAGACGACTCAATCTGAGACTCACGCGGAGCTCACAACTCAACAAGAGAGGAGCCCGTGAGTGTTGTGACAGAGAAGCTTGGAGGGAGTGCACCAGGTAGGTGGGAGGAAAATGCTTTAGAAGAGAGATGCCGCCTGGCAGGATATAATCAGTCAGCTGAATCTCAGTTCTTCAGGGTTTAAACATACACTGGGTTTTACTTTGTAATAACCACTGCTTTCAATTGTGCTATATCTATCTAATTTTCCCTTAACCACCCTTAATTATGTCTTAGGTAGAGCCCGCAGTTTTCAGGTCACTTTTGTTCTTCAGACCTTAATCTAAGCTTGTTTTCAATGTCCGTGTGGCTTCAGAGGTTTGGGGAGTGTGTGTGTGTGTGTGTGTGTGTGTGTGTGTGTGTGTACTTTGGCCTGTCCTGCTCTGTAAGCCACATTCTGGCATTGGCAGATGGAGAATGGCAGGGAAAGGGCCAGTGAATCTTGGCTTAGACATCACAAATGTACTTTCCATTTCTTACTAATTCTGGGGGAAAGATCTCCAGCTCAGCACTGAAGATCTTCAATGAGGGAGAGGCAAAGATGTGTCTGCGGTCAGACAGTGGAAGGTCTGGTAATAAGGCGCAATGGCCGTGCGGCCCACAGACGCCTGGTGTCTATGAACAGGGTTCAGGAGGATAAATCTGGAATTAGGGAGAAGAACGGGGAGCTACTGCAGAAGGCCAGGTGCCAGAGAACGGCCTGAAGTGGTGGACACACTGGGATGGACAGCAGGGAATGCGGCGGAGGCTGGTCAGCTGGGCATGTGTGGGTGGGGAGAGGAAGGAGTTGAAAACATGGTTTTCAATCTGTTTGCTTGAGCAGCAGAAGCCGAGAAAGGGGTCAGGAGAAACAGGGTCAGGAGGAAGCAGTAAGTTCTGTACATGATTTGGGAGCTCCGGGAATACCAGAAGCAGTGGGACACCTGAAGTAGAAGTATGGGAGATTCCTGGGATAGAAACACGTACGTGGAAGTTACTTGTTTCTGAGTGTAGTGGAAACAATGAAAGCAGATGGAACCTTTTATTAGAGGTACAGAGAAAAACGGTGTTTTGTGGGAATGTGAATCATTTTCCATAACTATTTAGAAAACATCTGTTTTCACCAGAAATCTAGTGAACTCTGCTTACAAATAATCTATTTCAAGAGTAAAACCAAAGCAAAACTTAATTCATGAGGCACTGAGGACAGCAGGGATTTATTTTCTGGCCACATTAATCATCCCAAGGTAGTAGCAGAAAGGGAGGAGGCTCTCTCCATTCACGCAGACGGTCCCGCTTCCTGTGCATAGCGAACAGAACGTCGTCCTCGTCTCAGAGCCTTCAACCTCGCAGGGACTCTAGTGTGTAGCCATAATGGGCGATGCCACAGTGACCATTTACCTGTTCTTTTGCTTTTTTGGAGAAGGGTGTTCTTCAGAGTCCCTCCTGCCTTCCCCCTTCCTCCCTCCGTTTCTTTCCCTGTGTGGATAGTTCCCCTTCCCCATCCGTTCATTTTCCCCACCTCCCCAGGTCCCCACCAAGAAAACCTTTCCTTCTCTGGGCTTGAGGCCTAGGTTTGGGCTCTGGGATACACACCACCAGGGATTCAAATCAGAAAATAGTAAAGCACAGACAAAGATATGGTTATTTATTCTTGAGGGAGGTGGTGCCCAATGATAACGGGATCCCAGGGTGGACTCTGAGGTTTGTTTATTGGCCCTTCAGGGACGCCTTAGTTTCCGCCCATTTTCTAAGCTCACTGCAGCTTTTGTTCAGTGAATCCCTGGAGTCCTTCCAGCAAACTTCTGTTTTTGATAGCCAGAGGATGTTATGGTTTGTTTTTATAATTAACATAGTTGTCTTTTATTGCTTGCATCCAAGAATCCTAATTTACTCAGGTAAAGAATAACTCTGTAAATAACCAGCCAAATAATTTTTGGTATGCAATTTTCATAATTAAAAAAATTTTCATATGACTTAAATGCATCTTCAAATAAATGTCTGCACTAACTCTTTAAACAAATTACGAATCCTCACATAATAAATCTAATATATAACTGCTTCTTGTAAATTGAATAATTGGCTTTGTGAAAATAAATGAATAATTCTTTGATGAAATTTAAAATCATTTGATAAAAGAACAATTAATTTTCTTGACTTCTGAAAAGTAGGATTTTGGCAGTACATATAAAACCTTCCAATTGCTGATCTTTCTTAATAAATTAGAAGGAGTTTGAGAGAAAAGGTCCAAGTTCCAGTCCTGACTTTACCATTTAGGGAAAAACATTTAATATGACTAAATCTAAAGTTCTTCACAGGTAAAATCACAAAGACAGTGATAACTAATTCAATGAGTTTCTAAAAGACTCAACTAGATAATTATACACATTACAGAGCACTTTGCCAATGTTTATTAATAGTCTACCACTAGAACCTGTAACAGAACTGCTCACTGGAGCAATGGCTACATGAAAGCCACATGTCAGTCTGATGGGAAGCATCTAATATTAAAACAAAGGAGAGCAAATATAAATGTCAGGAAGCATTTTTTAATATTATAGAAATTATATAACTAAAACATAAATGTTACTAATGGCAATAAAATTCAAACGACAGGTTGAGTGTTCCTCCTAGACTCTACCAGAGTATATATTTCATACATGTTGTTATATTGAAGAAATTATTTCCTGTAATATGAATGACAGGCTCACAGAAAACTAGGTTTTATTAATCAAATGTACTAAACATTAACAGGTTGTTCACTGTAACCTTCAGGAATATATTTATTACTTTCTTTATCTTTCTTGGTTAATTTTATAATGTTCTAAAGAATTTCAGAATGCTTAAACATTTGACCCACCTAGGCTATATTTTTTCACTTTCAGATTTTACCACATTTAGATTTACATTTTCACTTCATCTTACTCTTATATTTTGTTTCTGTCCTTTGCTGCTATCTTTGGTTTTGCATTCCAAGGTTATTAATGACTAGAAACAAAGGATCATTTGTATCATAGTACAATATAAGGACAACATAATAAATGAAAACTCATCTAGTTACCAATATTTATAGCAGAAGGTGTATTTGCATTTAATAGAATGGACTAGAACTCAGACAAATAACTTTTATTTACTTTACCTTTTACAGGGCTAATCTCTGTTAAATGTACAATGTTAAATTGACTTGAACATGCCTGGTAAAGAAGTTCAATTTTTTCTCTATTAACTGTAATATCATTCATTACTTTATACTGAAACAAAGACGGGAACACTGAGCTCAAATTCCCAACGATGATAATGATCAGGTAAACTTAGGACATTTGAGATGATGATCAAAATGAAAACCTTCCCATAGAGAAGTGATGGATGACCTCTAATTGTGTTTAACCAGTGTTAAAAGAAAACACACTCTTTCCTTTTAAGTGACTTGACCTGATAATGCCTGACAAAAGCCCTGTCACAAGGTGTCCAATTCCTAATGATTAAAAAAAATTAAAAGAAAGTACACAGTAAAGCCTGTACCACTGACTCAGTTCTCAGTTCTTGGATCTTACTTCCAGAGTTCTGGTAAAAATACAGAAGTTGTGATTCCATAAAAAATAGGCAATAAAAACAGCTAATCCACAATGGCAGAGAGTTAATATTGCAGCACCTTCTGCCACAAAATAGAAACTTTCATTCAGAAGTAGGAGCACTGAGGTCCTCAAAGATCCTTCCACAGTGAGTGTGACCCTAACATACATCTGAAGACTTATGGTCAATAAGAACTTAATGTCCAACTATTTAAAGTTGTACAGTTCCTTTTTTGTAATTTAATCCATAAATATTCCTTAAGCAATCATTTGGGAGGAGCACTATGCTCACAGCTAAGTCTAAGAGTTAGAAAGATGCTGTTTCTGCCTTTCCCACTTAGAGTCTGATGAGATAGATAGAAAAGTAGAACATAATTATAACTCAGGGAGACAGAGCCACAGCTGGCCAGCGCAAGGGGGACGTGGAGAGGAATGTATTTCTCAGCCCATCTGAGAAGGCTCAGAGAGATCTTCCCAGGAACACGGACAAGGGATCTTCAGATCTTCCCTGAAGGCTAAGTCAGGGGCAAGCTCTGGCAACATGTGGGAGAAGAGAAGAGCCTCCAGGCAGGGAAAACAATATAGGCAAAAAAAAAAAAAAAGAGAGAGAGAGAGAGAGAGACAAGAAATTGAGCAGACAGCATTTTGGGAACTAAACCTGGGAGCTGCTTGAAAAGGAATGATGGGAGATAACATTGCAAATTCAGGGGTCAGATCCCAGAAAGGCCTTGGATAACAAGGCTTGGGAGTTTGGACTTCGCTCTGAAGGAAAAAGGAAAAACTAAGATTGATTATGATTATTTTAGAATGGTGATTTTGGGAGCAGAACAGAGGCTGTGGGAAACTGGCGGTAATAGAATTAGGAAGCCACAACACACATGTGAGGACCAACCTAAGTCGGGACAGTAGGAACAGAAGCAGGTGGATAATGAACGCTGAAGTTTAACAGGTGGAGCTGGCGGCTAATTGGACCAGGTGTGAAAGAGAAACTGAGCCAAGGCTGGTACTGAAGATTCTAGGTGAGGTTTTAGGTTATGGAGCGAAGGTCGCGTTGAGTTGGAAGTCCAGCCTGTAAGAGGTGTAATAAGCAGTTGAAATGTGTTGTCCCTTAGTTCAGGAGAGGGTCTGGGCAGACACCATGTTTTGAGGAGTCCTAGGAGTACAGTGATATTAATGATAAGACAGTGAATGTGCTCCTCAGCGCGATGAAGGAATAGAAACCAGGACATGCCCAAATCACTACGTGGTGGAGGAGCAAATCCATAAATGAGTCAGAAAATGTGTAGGTTGAGAGAAACGTGTCTACCCAGAAGGGCAGTGACTATGCCAAAGCAAGAGTGTCATCATGAAATGATCGCTCTGCCCAAAGTTCCAGAGACATGTGAAACATGTGAAAAGCTGAAAATATTCGTGTGATTTGACAACTCTTAAAATTTTGTTGACATTAGAAAGGTATTTCAGTGGGAAAGGGTGTTCCTTAGAAAAATAATTTTTGAAAACATTTCCACAAAAGCATTATTAAGGCCCATCTTTACTCCTAGTAGGCTATTTTCATCAGTTTTTTTATTTTGGAGGGGGCAGTAATTTGATTCACTCTTTTGATTTGGGAAGAAAAAAGATCTTTGTCACAGATACAATAACTGTGACTGACTCAAAAGTCATCTTGGCATGCTACAAAGCCAGAAAATTAGGCAAAGTCCTGTCCAGTCTGGTGACACTAATATTTGCATGTACTTAGATAACTGAAATTAAGAAATAGGGCAAGGACTCAAAACTGTACGGCTTAACAGTGTCAAGTACTGACCTGGATAGCTTTCTCACTATGTTAATTATCAAGGTAAAATTTATAAAAAGAAAGTGTTTCCCTCTGTTACTTCACCTCTGCTCCCATGTACTGACAGGATGGAAACTATTTAAAGGTGAAACTGAATTGAGAATCAGCACTTATTAATTAAATAATCAGTACTTACTAATGAAATTTCTGAAATGTACCTTGACTTTTAAGACCTTCCTTGATCAGCCCATAACTCACACTTCTATATTTACTCTTTGAGATGTAAACATGTCAGTGATTTCCTAACATTTGGGTGATGACCCCCCGTGGCCAGCACTCACTGCACTATGTCTGAGGAACCACAGACATATGCTTTCTCAATAGCAGCTTTAGTCCTGTGCTGTGAGTGTATGATAACTGTCTTCACGTTACTGAACGACCCTCAACTTGAAAAGACTAGGAACCACTGTCTCACACTCGGATTCACCAACAGACTTGGTGCATTTCTCATTTTAGCCACATTCTTCCTTCTATCTGGAATGTTTTCTTTTCTTATCATGATTTATCAAACTCTTGCTTCCCCTTCAAGGTTCAGTTTAACTGACGCCCTTCTTCTAATGCCTTCTCTAGATCCTTAAGCCAAAAGTGTTCTTCTGTCCCCACTCTCTTTATACCTGTATTTTATGTCACTTCCACAGAATGCTGTAGTTGTGTTCTTCTCTCTCCCATTGGATTGAAAATTCCTTAATAGAGGGAACATGTCTTGTTCATTTAACAAAATTTTCAAATATGTGTGGCTCTATGATTAAAATAAGAAAATACTACCTCTGAAGCTATAGACAACAGTCAATGTAAAATCATTCACCTATAGATACTAAATGTCATAGGCACCTCATCCAAAGAGATGGTTTGGAGACTGGTGCATCTTACAAGTCTCTTTTAAGGAAAATGCTCGGCTCGGCGCCTATAGCTCAACCGGCTAAGGCGCCAGCCACGTACACCTAAGGTGGCGGGTTCAAATCCCCAACCCGGACCCGCCAAACAACAATGACGGCTGCAACCAAAAAATAGCCGGGCGTTGTGGCGGGCGCCTGTGGTCCCAGCTACTTGGGAGGCGGAGGCAGGAGACTCGCTTGAGCCCAGGAGTTGGAGGTTGCTGTGAGCTGTAATGCCACGGCACTCTACCCAGGGGGACAGCTTGAGGCTCTGTCTCAAAAAAAAAACAAAAACAAAAACAAAAACAAAAAAAAAAAAAGAAAATGCTCTAATCTGCAGTATTACTGGGGAGATGTAAGATAAGCTGCAATTATTGTAATAAGTCCAAGATAATAGAAGAGAAGAGAAAAATAAGACATGAGGAAGCCCCAGTGAGGCCACAGGAATCCTCTGGGCACCTGCAGATACATGCCTGGGGGCTGTCACCTTTGCTGTGATGATCATTCTGCATCTGCTCTTAAAGGACATCCCTAAACACTGTTTTGTATTTTCAAAGAATTACCTGATCTATCAACATGTTTTCCTAGTAGCATGTGTGTATGTCTATACCTGTGTGTATACATATATACAGACACATATATATATACACGTATACACACACACACACACACATATATATAATTTTGCACAATAAATGAGCAAACTGACATTCTGGCTATTAGTAAGACTCATTTAACAAAAGTCCATCTTCCACAGACTTATTAGTCTTGCTACCCATGAGGGAAAGAATAAAATAAACTTCTTTGACATGCAAAGTGATGACCATAGGCTAGATGTGCTGCACCAGAGTGGATTAATAGCATGAGCCCAGACCTGTGGCTCCCCTTTCTTTCTAAACCCACTGTTTAATTGTTAGGTTTTACAGACAGCAGGTATGCAATAGATATTTATTGTGAAAGTCAGTGAATAAAAATGGTAACCTTATTTCAGGTCAACTGAAATGAGTTTTAGTTAGCTAATGACCCTAGATGACTGTGTAACAAGTGGCCCTGTGAGTCCTTCTCAGAAGCGAATGCAGCCACTCCAGTTCGCTGACTGTTTTCATCATCCCTTGAGTGGTCCTGCTCCCAAAATGTAGGCCATGCAACTATGATTTAAAAAGCCCACAGGCACACAATACTTTGATGATCTCAATGCTTCCCTATTTATACTTGATAGAAACAGTCTGTGTAATCTGGCATTGTATCATCCTGATTCACAATATGTAAATTATAGTTTGCTACATTAAAACAGTTGCCACCAAGTTCAACATAAAAATTTCCTCTCATTCTTTTTCGTGTTTGTGTGTGGTCAAAAATCCCAATAGGTCATTGCTTCAACTTAGAAATTTCATTTACCTTTTATTAAAAGTAAATACATTATCTTTTAAAGTAGTAACTTGTTATTTTTTAACTTTGTTAGCTAAGTGAGAATATTTTTAAACAGTAAATAACCTCCAAAATGCAAACAAAGGGAATATGAACTGTATCAACAAAAATCAAATAAAGTATCCTTTCTAAATAAGAGAAAAATTAACAAAATTAAACACATGTTTAAACACTCATAATTTTAAACACTGATATTTATATTTAACAAAGATCTACCAAATAACTACTTTACAGTAAGTTTTAGACATTCAGGATTTTTGAGAAAAAAAATAATACCATCCAAGGCCTTTCAGTATGAATGAAGTTAATAAGAACCTAAGCATTTTTATTTTCCTATAAAATTACTTCATTTCCCTAGCATACTGAAATTTATTAACTTTGTACAATATATATTTTTAAGAAGATTCAACAAAAAGGATTCTATTTCTTTTTCTATTTCATGTAACTGAATTTTCAATAATGATTCATCTATTGTATTCCAAAACTTTCAGGTAGATTTAATAACAGAGAAATATATTAAGGTAAATTGGGAAGAAATTCTTTTTATTAGAAAAGCTATTGAATTTTCTTGGAGACTAAAAGAACACAATATGTTTAATTCCTGATCAAATATTGGAAAAATAAATTGTTCCAAAGCAGTATAAAGATTTTATTTGTATGAAGAGAATGCAATTTCTTTTAAAAAGTTATATTTCTAATCATGGCATTAACACCTCCACAAGCAATGGCTCCACATATATTCTCCTGGCTGTGGAGTCTAAGATTTAATTAACCAAGTGAGAATTTCAGCCTTGTAATTCTTTCAACCACTTGGCTCCAACAGAACTCTGCTGAGCAAAAATAGTTGATAAAGTAACCTACATCCTTTCATGATGATAAAATCCAAGTTTTTTCCCCTTTGTTTAGGTAACAAATTAGAGTAAATAGTAACTGGAAGTTCATCTCTCTATGTCTAAATTATTTATATATGTTTAGAGATTTTATTTTCTCAACTGACTTTTGTGTCACCTCACTGTACCCTGAATACCATTTTGGTTTGTTATGTGAGTTGATACATTCAGTTTTATTTTCAACCAATTTAAGTTGGTTAAAGTGGGGTTTAGACTGAATTAGACATTTTTTTTTAAATTATCAACTTGTCTTTCTCTGAGCTACCCTGGTATCTCTGGGTGAACACATCAACTCACGCTGTTTCTTAACTGATGACACCATATGGAATTCATGACTCATCAGTGTGTCACGACTGTGTCACACTGTGTCCTCGACTTCTTTTATATTTCCATAGCACATATTAGGGTCCTAGACAAATATTTTGACCTGCTACAGCATATGCTAACATGCTATTATAATATAGCATATATATCACATTTTAGTTAATTTATTGTACAGACTTTTATTTAACAATCTACTACAACAAAAAAAATGGTACATTTTATTACATGCTGTTATATATAAATTATTATTACCTGGCAATGACTTAGACCACTTGACTACTGAAAGAAGTTGCCTCTCGCCTAGTTGATTAAGACTTGTCAGCAAAGAACTGGAAGTGTCTGGCTTTGTGTTGTCATGTCCTGCATAGATCACATCCGGCTCAATGCTCATTAATAGGTTGATCAGTGTTGGGATCAACTGTAATTCTTGATTTGGTGAGAAAGTGATCCTCTGGGTCAGGGCTTGGCTTTCACTGGCAAGGCCCACTGGCTGTTGGAGAGCAACAGCATCTAGTGATCTCATAACTCTGACTTTATTGAACTTTTTAAACTTGCGACCTATAGAAAAGAAAAGAGTATAAATATATATGAACTAAGACTCCCAGCAGAATATTATTTTTCTTAAGCATTATAGTCATAACATCGTAGATTTTAGCAACAATCTAATAAAGTGAAATAAAATAGATAAAAATATCTTAGACTTGGATTAAATAATTAATTACATCACCATTCACTGGGTTGGTGGATGGTGGGTAATCTTCCCAGTGTTTAGCAGGGGGCTATGGGACTTTGTAGGAGAAGACAGCCATGAGAAGACTGAGAGCTTGTAGTAGAGGTGAAGAACAGTATTGCTCAATAGTCTTTTCCATTTGTTTCTAACCTTTATTTTTTTCTTTCCCTTTCTGTTCCATTTTTTTTATTAAATCATAGCTGTGTACATTAATGCAGTCATGGGGTATAGTGTGCTGGTTTTATATACAATTTGAAATATTTTTACCAAACTGGTTAACATAGTTTTCATGGCATTTTCTTAGTTATTGTGTTAAGACACTTATACTCTGCATTTAGAAAGATTCACATGTACCCTTGTAAGATGGACCATAGGTGTGGTCCTGCCAATCACCCTCCCTCCACCCATCCTCCCCCCTCCTCTCCCCTCCTCTCCCCTCCCTCTCCCCCATCTCCATACTCTTGGGCTATACCTGGGCTACAGCTTTTGTGTGAAAGCTATAAACTAGTTTCCTAGTAGGGCTGAGTACATTGGATACTTGAGATACTTTGCTAAGTAGAATATGTTCCAGCTCTATCCATGTAAACATGAAGGAGCTAAAGTCCCTTTCCTTCCATTTTAATAAATGTAGGGGATATAAGTTGAATTCCACATATACTGTGTAGTGGTGGAGTTTGGGCTTTTGGTGTACCGGTCACCCAAACAGGTTACCTTGTGCCCACTGATATTTTTCCCTCATCCCCTTTTTTTCTCCCCCATTTTGAGACTCCAGGATCCATTACTGCACACTCTGTGTCCTGTGTGGCCATGGGTTAGCTCCCACTTACAAGTGAGACCATGTGGCATTTTTTTTTTTTTTGTTAATGGGTTATTTCACTTAGGATAATGGCCTCCAGCTCTTCTATTCAAGCTGCTTCTAAAGACATTATCTCATTCCTTTTCTATCACTGTGTAGTGCTCCATGCTATATGTGTTGATGGGCATGTAGGCTGATTCCATATCTTTGTAATTATGAACTGAGCTGTAATAAACATAAGTGCAGATATCTTTTTGATGTAATGATTTATTTTCTTCTGAGTAGCTACACCCAGCGAGGGGACTGCAAGATCAAATAGTAGGTCTACTTTTAGTTCTTTGAGAAATTTCCATACTCATCTTCATTGAGGTTGTACTAATTTACATTCCCATTGACAGTGTCTGTGTTCCCTTTCACCACATCCATACCAACACCTGCTATTTTTTTCTTTATAAGAAACGCCATTCTGGCTCGGCGCCTATAGCTCAACC